TTTTTTTTTTTTTTTTTTTTGTGGTGGTGGTGGTGGTGGTGATACCAGGGGTTGAACCCAGGGTCTTTGCACTTACTGTGCTACATACATAGCCCTTTTCTTTTCTTTTTCTTTTAAATTTTGAGACAGGGTTTCATTAAGTTGCGCTGGCTGGGTTTGAACTCATGATCCTCCTGCCTCAGCCTCCCAGAGTGCTAGGATTACTGGTATATACCACCATGCCTAGATCACTGGGCATTTCATGTATAATAGCACGTAGTTGTCCCTTGGTATCCATGGAGAATTGGTTCCAAGACCCCTCACAGAGAGCACAGTCTCTAGATGTTCAAATCCCTTATATACAAAGGCAGGACATTGACGTATAGCCCAGGGACAACCTCACACATACCTAATCATCTCTAGGTTACTTATGAGAACAATACGATTCAAACGCTATGTAAATAGTTGTGTTGTTTCGGGGCCAATGACAAGAAGAAAATCCGTATGTTCGGTACGGATCCAAATTTTTTTCCTGAGTATTTCCATCCATAGTCCGTTCAATCTGCAGACGTGGAACTCAGATATACAAAGCTGACTGCGTTATGTGGCCGCTGTTCTGCAGTCCCACAACTGTCCCAGCCAGAGCCATGCGTTGGCCAGGCCGAGTGGCAATGAAGCAAGTTTTTAGCCATTCTGAGCCTTACTTTCTTTCTTCCTTTGTAAAATGGGAATGATTCTCGGTTCTGCTGGCATTGCTCCGATAATTCAGTAAAAGGATACACAAAGAGCCTAGTTCTGGGCACACGGCTGATCCCTGATAAATATTAGCAGACTATATTAGGATCACCATCTCCATATGATCAGTGAGACCGGCCATGACATAGAAGACATTGCGTCAACCCTGTGAAATCAGCCATCCTGTCCGAGACACATCCACCTGCTCAGACCAGGCATTAAATCCAGCGCATTGCAAGGGGCTCATGACTGCCGCAACTCTCTGCTAAGGGCTGATTTTGTGTCCAGCCAAATCCCACCACAGTGACATCTCAGCTCCACGAGAAAGACCATCTTTGTAGACTGACAAAACCAACAAGGTCAGACGTGACATTAGATTCCACCTGAAGGATGCGGAGGGTCAGGGTATAACTCATTGGCAAAGAGTAGAAATCTGCAAAGAGGGCCTTCTCGTCTTAGAAGTCCTGTGCCTCTTAGGATTTTGTTTCTCTTGTGGTACTAGGGATGGAGCTCAGGGTCGTACACAAGCTAGGCAAGCACTCCACCTCTAAGCCACACCAGCACCAGCTGTTTTAACATCACCCTAGAAGCTTGCGGGGCAGGGGTGGCGAACCTATGGCACGCGTGCTGCAGCGGGATCTTTCTTACCACGGAAAGCTCTAAAAGGTTCGCCATCACTGTGTGCACCTGATCCCAGGGTCACTGTCCTCAGGGACTCCCAGAGTAATGGGTTACCCATCAACGTGTATAGTTACGCAACTTACAGTGGTGGGCTGCCTTTTCCATACCGAAGCTGAGTGTTCACCACTGCCAGGGTCCCCAGGGACCAGAGCTAGCGCTTGTCCTGCACCCAGGTCGGTGTCTCACATAGATGGGAAAGGGCTTTGGTGACGCTGGACTCGCGGCAACACGCACACGCATACATTAAGATGTGCAGGGAGGGGTGCAGCAGGAGAAGGCCACTTTCTACCAGAGCCCTGAATGCTGTGAGCCAGGGAAGGTGCAGGGACAGAGGCGGAAAGAACAGGCCTGCCCAGTGCCGCACCCCGCCCTGTCCAGCCACCCCTCCCTCTTCACCTTCTGACTCTGCAGCTCACACTCCTGCATAAGCAGCTCGCAGACCTTGACTCGCTTCCGGATGAGCTCCTGCTTGGAGGCCGACAGGAGGAGGCCCTTGGGGTCCAGGGTCCCGATGATGTCGAAATAGATGGGGCAGCCTTCGTGGTCATAGCCACACAGGCCACCCGAGTCGTACAGCCGGATCACCTGGGCAGTGGGTAGGTTCTGACTCGGACCAGCCCACCGGGCAGAGTCCCTGTGTCAAGTGGCTGGGGGTGTAGGGAGAGAGGGGCACAAGAGGGGCGTCAGGTAGTCCGGGCGCCCCATGGGCTCACCTCTGAGGGCTGCCAGGTAAGGATGTTGTCTAGGTCCAGTTGCTTCCGGAACTCTACATGCTGTAGAGACACAGCAGGGCCTGAGCACTGCCCTCCCCAAGGGCCCCACAGGCATCTGGGAATGCAGGCCAGGTCCCGGTGCCTGCTGTCCCTAAACGCTGCCAGAGCATCCCCCGGCTCCCAGAGAACTGAGGGGGGACACAGGAGGAGGGCTTGGGGCAGGACCTCGGTCTGATGCGGGAAGGGACCCCAGGAAGAAGGAACAAGAGGCAGAGTGTGGGGCCCTGTTACTGCTGCCCAGGGCCCGGCCTGTAGAAGACGGGACCCTACCGTCCTGGGGCCTCACCTTCCGGAGCAAATCCTCAGATTTCTGCAAGTCAAAGTTCCGGGCTGCGAGAAGGAGACCAGGGAAGAGGAGGGTTGAGGCCGGACTGGAACGAGCCATTCTCCGAAACCTCCGGGGGACATAGTGAGGGCCCCTGGTTTTTCTGATACCCCAAGAATACCCTGGGTGTGGGCTGGAATTTTTTTTTTTTTTCCTTTAGGAAGGATCTTTACTCCTCTAGAAGACTTTGGAGGGCCCTGGATTTCTGTTCCAGGGCCTTTGAAACTGTTCATCCTAGAGGTTGATCTACCCTGTCATATTCGATAGCAGAGAACCCCAGGGTTGGGGTCCTGAGAAGCACGGGACTTGGACTTGAGCTTGAATTCTAATTTTGCTTTTTTATTTCCTGTGCAATCTTAGAGTCACTTAGCTTCTCTGAACCTTAGTTTTTCAAAAAAATCTACTAAATGGTAATTATATCCTAATCAGTGCAGTGTTCAAAGAACGGCATGAAACATATAAAATACTTTGCATAGTATGTGGATCCCAGTAAGTTCTCAATTACATGTTTTTTGGGGGGTACCGGGGATCAAACTTAGGACCTTACGCTTGCAAGGCAGGCGGTGGAACCACTGAGCTATAAATTCCCAGCCCCTCAATTACTTATTTTGAAGACACAGATACACTTTCATTGAAAATGATATGCTTTATTTATCTGTTCATTTATTTACATTTTGGAGATTCAGTCTTGCTATATTGCCCAGGTTGGCCTCAAACTTCAAGGCTCAAGAGATCCTCCTGCCTCAGCCTCCTGAGTAGCTGGGCCTATAGGCACATACCCCTGCGTCTGGCTCTTTTAAAAGTGCTATGGCTGCTGTTCTCTAAGATTACTGGGGTACTGACAAATTTCTTCACTGATGGGCCCGCCATGAGCTGCAAAGCCAGAGATTATCAAGCGATAAGGACCTGAGATGCTTATCCAGCCTTCCTCTGCCCTGGTCATGAGCCACTTCCAGAAATAACCACTGAGGCCGCCAGCTCAGCCTTGATTACCTCCCGTATCAGGAAGTTCACTGCCCAAGCAGGCAGCCCATACCACGCTCAGCAGTTTGAGTCCAAATCTGCTTCACAATGGTTCCAGCCCTAAATATGTGCGACTGCTTTTCAGTGGGTCATCTCTGTAAGTATCTGAAGATGAACCATCAAGACTCTTTGGGTGATTTCACCTGTGTGTCAGTGGGACAGTGGGACTTCCCGCGACGACAGCACTGTTCTTTTTTTGTTTTTTGGTTTTCTGAGACAGGGTCTCACTATGTAGTCGAGACTGACCTGGAACTCACTGTGTAGCCCAGGCTGGTCTCGAACTCACAGCGATCCTCCTGCCTTAGCCTCCTGAGTGCACCACCACGCCCGGCACAATAGCACTGTTCCACCTCTGAGCGGCTTAGTATGGTGGCCACCGGCTGTCTATGGCTCTGAGAAAATTGAAAGATGGCTCAAGTGACAGAGGACCCGAAGCTTTCACTTCATTTAATTTAACTTCATTTAATTTAAATACTTACACGTGACTAGAGGCTGCCAAATTGAAAGATGATTTTAAGATTTTTCTTTTCTGTATAAACTTCCTGTGTTCTAGGTTAAGTTTCTGGGAATTTAGGGCCAGGGATTCAGCTCAGTGGTGCCACACCTGCCTGGCAAGCGCAAGGTCCTGAGTTCCACCCTGGGTACTGGACTTCCTTAAGTGTTTGCTAGTTGCTGCTCAGTGTCCTGTAGGTTCCCTAGTGTGATGAAACAGCCCTGTCCACAGGGGACTTGGAGAGAGAAGCAAGACAAGTCCTGAGGCCAGGCTCCACCATCCCCGACCCAGGCCAGGCCTGGTAACTCCTGAGTACTCACTTCCCAGGCATTGCCTGTAACCTCTCTTCGACTCCGCCTTCCTAGTGACTCACGGTCATTTTGCAGAGGAGGAAACTAAGGCTGGTGGAAATTCAATGCTTAGATTCTAGCTGGGCAGGGTGGAGTACGCCTGTAATCCCAGCACTCAGGAGGCTGAGGCAGGAGGATTGCTGTGAGTTCGAGACCAGCCTGGGCTACACAGTGAGTTCCAGGTCAGTCTCAACTACATAGTGAGACCCTGTCTCAAAAAACAAAACAAAACAAAACAACAGCAACAAAACAATGGGATTCTAACTCAGCACAGGTGGGTCCAGAGCCTTTCCCTTACTTCTCCACAGCACTGTTCACCATGGTCTCCCCCTGTCCTGAGGACTTTCCTCTCTTCCCTCCCTCTCTGCCTCCTCCAACCCTGTGCTCTCACCTCGGAGCCAGCGCAGGAGGAAATAGTCATCAGCCTTAGGCAGGGCGGGCAGCAGGTCCCCGAGGTTCTCCTGGAACTAACAGAGGGGTTCTTGTGACCCTTGGGCCACCGGCCCCAGCCCCACCCTTCTCCATGGACGGGGGGCCCCAGGTCAAGACCACACGGGGTGCACGCCCTGAGCCATTTTGTCATCCGGGAATGAGGCACCCTCTGGCCCACTGGAGAAGGAAGAGTTGGGCCCTTTCCAACCCTTGAGAGTGCTCTGACTCCCAAGATTGTCATTTCACAAGTCTGAGGGGAGGCCCTGGAGTCTCTGCTTTTACAAGGATCCCTGAGTGATTCTAGTACAGGCCCGCCAGATGCCTTAGGAATGCTGCCCTTGAAAACACTACAGCTCGGGGCTTGGATCTGAAGACAAGTTAGTTAACCTCCCTGAGCCTCAGTGTCTTTGTCTGTAAATGGGCATAATGATACATTTGTGCCAGTCAAATGCAGGCCCTTTTTATCCCCCAAGTACCCTGAGTGAAGAAGTCCCAGGGAGGCAGGGAAGTGGGGTGTGGCTGGCAGACTGGGGAAGTAAGGTGAGACTTGTTAAGTACAAAATCCCAGGAACAGTTTCCCCAAGACTTCTGGGAAAACCTGAGCAATTTTGAATAGGGTGACCTAGGCCTGACATCAGCCCGAGGAGCGGGAGATACAAAAAGAACAGCCACGCTAAGGTTGGTTGGTTGGTTGGTTGGTTTTGTTGTTGTTTTTGAACAGGGTATTGCTCTGTGATTCAGGCTGGCCCTGAACTCATTATGTAGCCCAGGTGTAGCTCATGGTGATCCTCCTGCCTCAGCCTCCTGAGTGCTAGGCTTACAGGGGTGCGCCACCTCATCTGTCTTACACTGAACTGTGTGCTACCATGTTCTTTCACCGTGGCCCATTTTCTCCTGTACAGTGTACTTCTTTTCCTATATTTACTTGGCCTAAACTCCTCAGCAGAGCTTTTTTTTTTTTTTTTTTTTTTTTTTTTTTAAACAGGGTCTTGCCATGCAGTCAGTCTGGCCTTGAACTCACTATGTAGAACAGGCTGGCCTTGAACTTGTGGCAATCTTCCTGCCTCAGCCTCCCAAATGCTGGAAGTGGGTGTGCCACCATGCCCGGCTGCAGAGTATGTTTCTTTTCCTACCTTTAATAACCGTAAAACCTCGCTACCTTTTGTTTTATTTTTGGTTCTTCGGATTGAACTCAGGACCTTGCCTTGTGAGGTAGGTGCGATGCCACTGAGCTAAATCCGAGGCCCGAAACCTCGCTACCTTTTGCGCTTGTCTTGACAAATTATTTGTTCGGGACAGAAAGAACCTGGAAAGTAAGTGCCTGTAGAAGGAGACCCCAGCACGCCAAACCCATAACACCAGGACCCCTTCTTTCACCAGGGTCCCCATTCCTCCCTGAAAGATTCTGCCCCAGGGGAGAAGCCTCCAAATAAAAGTTTCCCACAAATGCTAAACTACCCATTCTTTCCAGACCTAAGAGCTAAGGGAGCGTCCTCCCCTCTCCCCAGGGCCCTGTCCCTTCCATATTTTAATAAAGATATTTAATTAAATAATAGTCATAGGGAGAAGACTTGAGCCCGGAAGAGGGGGCGAGCAGATGCGGGCATCAAGGCAGGCGATCCGGGGCTCTGGGACCCTTCCCGCCGGCTCCGCGGCAGCAGCCCAGGGA